GACCAATGGTGGTGGCGGGTCATCCCACAACCCTAGCCCAAACCCTAGATCTTTTTTGAAGAAGATGAACTCTTAGTGAATTTTTTTTTATAAAGGGTTGTGAACCCAAACCCATTAAAACTTAAATTTAAATTAAACGGGTCTGACCCGCAAACAGAACCCAAACCCGAAATCCTGATAATTTGAATTTTACTATAAAATTATTATCAAACCCCTGTTTGACCCAAAAATTATTCTGAAATCCACCGGTGTTGATTTTTTGCTATAAAATTAGTTTCAGCCCCCCTGTTTAAATCAGAATCTTGTTTGCATCAGAAATCGGTTTTATTGTAGAATCCATTTACAATTGTTTATTGACTTACAATAGATTCAACGGAGTGAACCTTTTTATAAGACTCCTCACTATAAAAGAATTAAAAAAAAGACTTCCTAGAAACACACGCAGAAACTGTTTATCGATAGCTGTTTGCACGTGATCTTTGCCTATGCCAGGGACACATTAACCCGTTAACGACCGATTCATAGATCCAGATTGATCGTGAAGAAGGCTCGGTGTTCTTGTTTCAACTAGGAAACAAGAACAAAAGTGGCTATCTCAGCGAGGTGAGATAAACACTCTTATCAAAATCAAAGCGATGTTTGATCTCAATGAAAGGGGTAAAGTCTTATAGATCTCTCCAAATCTTCCTCTTTATGCACGAAGTTCGCCAAGATCTTGCCTCTCTCTGTGAAATTCGTGGGTTTCTGCTCTCAAATTGTCAGTACTTCGCCCCCAAAGTCCAAATCTCTAGATCACCCGTGCATAAGGGTGTTAGGGGGTATTTATAGGATTCGAATTCCGTGCTTGAGGATAAGAATTCATGTTGTATCTACAGTTAGTAATGACTTTCCCATATTTAAGGATGTTCTCAAAGTAGTTAGGAAACTAGTGATACACATGAATCCCGAGAAATCATCAAAAAAATGCATTTTGGGGGAATCTAATTGTCTCGGCACTATTTGCGAGACACACCCAACTATCTCAGTTTCCGAGACACATTTATGTGTCTCAGAACTCAAGATAGCTCAGGCCATCTCACCGAGTGTGAGACAGCTTTGAGCCTTGTTGTTTCATCATTTCGCTTGTTTCATTGCCTCATCGTTTCGTCACTTAGTCGTTTCATCATTTCGTGTGCTTCTTCTTGGCGTCAGACGATTCTTACTGACTCGGATAACAACGTTCATCATCTCCTCTTTGTTTTGAGCTAAGTTCGGAAACCTATAGGTAATGTTCAATGCCTACAGATACCCCCTCTAAAGTTTTCAGCCTCAATATTTTATCGAGGAGTCTAAAATACTTTGGATAAGATAGGCACTGCCTTCAATCTCTTTAGTATTTTATCAAGGAGATTACATTGAAGGATCTATGAGTGGCTTCAATTCTTTGACTTCTTCAGCTTTCATTCTACTCAGTATTTTGTCGAATAGTCTGAACTTCTGGTGCTGCGTTTATCACTTGACCATGTCGAAATCTGGAACTGAACTTGATGTGTTGACGTTGGAATTAGCTCGTGCTATTGAGTTGATGTTGAACTGATCATCTTCGTCGGAAGTTTATATCTGAACTGAGGTTGGACTCCCGGGGGTAATTTTGGCATAGAACTTTAGCCTGAACCTAATTTTAGCAAAACCGTTGAATCTTTGACCGGTGTTGACCTTCGTTATGGCATGAACACGGTTTATACTCATGTGTAAATGGAGTCTACATAGTTTAAGCTCTTAAGGCATTGAAACGAGGAGAATCATTTTATACTCTTATACTCCTCAGAGTTTCGTGAAACAATTTAA